TTTATGGATTAATTAATAAAAAAGTAACATTTTTTAGTTAAATATATTGTAGTCCAAAAACACAAAATAAAAATGATTAAAAGATTTACTCAATCATTTCTAGCAGGGAGAAGCCAGCACTCGGTGAGTCAGGGCAGCCACCCGTGTTAGCTCTGTCGAAAAAAATTAGCACGTATATTTGATGGTTGCTCAACTACCACCCGCTCGACGTCAGGCGATCGGTTTCAGTTATTGTATTTGTCTGATTCCTATAAGGTGATAAATACTTCCTTGTCTAATAATTCGACAAGTTCTATAGTTCTTGTAGTGCTTTCAAAATATGAAACCCCGGATAATGCAGTTGTTTGAGCTTACAATTACGGAGTGAAATTGTATCATGTATTTGTTATTGTATTTTTCTCTTATAATTTTAGCCTTTAGGTTCACACACACACACATTATTTTTACGTTTTAGTCATTTATATATTGATCGAAGAATTTTTTAATATAATTTAGTTAAATGTTAGTAAACAATCTCATTATTACAGCCGTTAACAATCAATAATCAACGACCATCCTAGCTCACTCGAATTATTAGATTTGCCTTTGATTTCTTGACTGAGTTTAGTTGACACGAAAATACATGTGCTTCTATTCTTCTCTCTCGATCATTCTTCTATGTCTTCAAATACACTCATGCTCATTAATAATTTTAGCTACCGGCTCGGCCCTGGTAACCCCACTTAGAAAGAGGAAGAATATATGTCATTGAATACGTTATTACAATTTATCCGATAGAAAAATCCTAAAAGTAGGTTAGGGATGGGAAGATGGTCCTTTGCGGGACTTGTACCACGCCAACTTATTTCTAGATTTTAAAAGACTATGGTCACGGTGGCAAAGTATACGGTCCTAATACATTATAGTATAAATTTTATCTTTTTCTTGCTTTTATCTATGCATTCACACGAGAAAAGACGAACAATGCTATTGTTACAGAAAAAAATTCTGTAAAAATGTCAGAACACACACATGGGAGGTGGACTCCATTTTTTATAATAATATTTTATTCACATGGGGTCCACCCTATGTGAGTATTCTGGTATTTTTACAGATGAAATAGTTCCGTGCAAGTGATAAAATCAGAAAAGACACATTGAATGACGTAAGAAAGAATACTTGTAAAGATTGTACTCTAATTCCAAAGCCATTGGAGCAAAACTCTAATAACAACAAATGCTAGGTTTCCAATTCTTACATGAAAAGAAGAGAGACAACTAAATCGAGATTTCCATGCACATGCACCCCCTCATCTTCCCCATGTTTCTACTTCTACTTTGCATATATATATACACACACACACCTGATTAGGCAAATTGTAGTTCAATACTTCCAAATTTTTTTTACCAAATTTCACTAGAAACTAAGCAATCCCAAGGTTTTCACATGCTAAAAGATTTATATAATTAAAATAAGTATTCTTTTAAGACGAGGAGATGTAACAAATGATAAATATATTGTACAAGTGTTCTATATGTTGTTCGTTTTCAGTAAGAGATTAAAACAAAATAGCTTTGCTCATTTTCGGTTCAGCTAATTTTTTTTTTTTATTAAGATCTAAGCCAAAGTCAACAATTAACTTTAACCACATATTTCATCAAATTTTATTAAAATCTAATAAAAATTTGATTTTTATCTAAATCGAAAACTAAATTCTTCCTATTCTAGGGTATCATTAAGCTATTTCTAGCACCTTAAATCGAATTGAATTGGATATGATTAAAGAAGAAAATTATGTGTATCAAACGTGCATGTATTAACATGTAAGAGACCTAAAAGGTGCAATATAACTTAAGAATTTCACCGAAAACTATCACTATTTTTAAAGTCGATAGATTTTTCTCGTCTACTCATGATGATTGGATGGATGAAGCAGCCATGAGTTTACATACGTATCCAATCACTTTAGATCTTTTTTCCATGCTACAAATTCCAAGGGGATGATGTAAAAACATGTGTTGGGTAGGGATATGTGGACCAAAACAACAACACTTGCAATCTCCATACATATGCAAAGAGCAAAAAGGGTTTGTTTTGTGCATAGAATTTGCATTTATAATCTCAACGTGAGTGAGTCTGTGAGTGTGGTTCCAAATTCCAACCGGGAATTGTGAGCCCCCCCAGGTGCAATTTGCAGTCATCATCGCCCACTTCACGTGGCCTTTTAGGGAGTATCCTTCTCAATATTTTCTATCCTAATCAATGCACAACTTAGTTCAATCGATATCCATCCATAATATAGGTTTGATGGCACAAAAGTTAATACAATTATAGAATATTTCGGGAGGTAAGATGGTGATCAACTACGATATTTCCATCGATAATCAGTGACAGCTTTTTCATCTTGATTATACCGGAGCGTCTGAAACATTATTGGTGTAGAATGACTTTTGTCTCCAGAGTCGTGCATATCCGGACTATAAAAGTAAACGGATTTAATAATTTTGTTGTTATTTTGAGATTGATTTTGGAAAAGTGCATTGTCACTCGTCCTTAAGTATTTGTTATCATTGCAGATTGACGAATTTGTTCAATGGAACTAGTTGTAATAGGGACCTAAGAGCTTTAAAAATTGGTCACATCTTCTTTTTCAATATGTTTACATTCCACTCCGTAGTCGATGGCATAGAAAACCTATACATTGGGACCCGTTAATTCCCATATCAACTTCAGCATCATACCCCTATATAAAATAAAGGTTAGACATTTCTCCATGAATTGCAAATATTGAGTAATGAGAATTGAAAACATATACAAGCAAGTCATGGACTGCCACACCAAATAAAACTTTTAAATATTTTGGATTGCTTGCTATTGGATGAGAGTTGCTCCTTTGAGTATCCGATAATTTTAATACTTCTTCATCGATAATCAATTATTCATGAATTGTGGTTGATTGCTGAGGACATTATCGTTGATTATGATCATCGACGGAGCTGCATCGAATGAACAATGAGAGTATTGTCATCGATAATTAGATCACGATTACGTATGTCGTTAGCGGAGAAAATCATTATCAATATCGAATCAACCGAGATCAAAAAATTGACCTTTGTGGCCTCCTAATATGCCTAGTACTAAAATTTCATACCTGCAATTGACATTTGTAGACTGACAATCAATTGATCCATACAATTATTAGGTTAACTGAATAAGTAGTGGAAAAAATAAGTTGCTTTATGTTTTTATTCAAAGAACTATTCTAACTCATTTTGCTCTATGGGTTATTTGACTAAATTGTCCTTTTGCATCCTTGTTTTATTGTAATTATCTTTCTTGAATATTTTTTAATGTCATTGTTAGATATATTTTGAATAAATTGCACCTTAATTAGCCTAAAATTTTGAAATCTTATCACTTATTTTTTCACTTTAATATTGGACCATGGTGTCCAATCATGCCAATGGGCACATGGACAAGTCAAATGTCGAACTTCATGCAAATTCATGAAATATTATGTATTTACTATTTATTGACGTTTCTTCGAAATCTATAACGAAAAATAGAAGGCAATGCCATTGATGTTATGTGGAGTACCCATATCTCGGTTTGATAAAAAATTCAGTGAATTTTGATAAAAATTAATAAAATATACGGTTGAAGTTGATATATATATATATATATATACAGAAATGATCTAATGAGCACCGGTGCTCATCTTATCCTGAGCACCGATGAGTTGACACATTAATTAAAATTAAGTTAAAATCAACAATTAATATTAAACACACATTTCAGAAGATCCACAATTTTTTAACTACATATATTTTATCATTTTTTTATCAAAATTTATAAATTAAAAAAAAAAAAATTGATTTTAACCTCGAGCTTCAAAGTCAATATGCAGTTGTCAATTCAGTTGGTCTCGAGCTGTAAATTGTACTCTTAATAGCTTACTGTGAAGCCAACCCTAAAGAAGGTGATGTGTTACATATCCAAAGGGTTAACTCACTTGGGGTCCAAAATTGTTGACACATAATATAGCTCGTTTGGGGAAAAAAATATCTTTCCGAAAGGAAAAATGATTTTTAAAAAGACGTGTAATTGAAAAGTTGTAGAAAATCATACGTCATATGATTGAAAATAATTTTCAAATAAATTATCCCTAACAAGCCTATAGTTTCTCTAGTTTGGTATACCCAAAATTAAATATTTACTATATTAAATTTGATATAATTGAGCTCGTGTTTGGTGGAGATTAAAATCAGATTTTTAGTAAATTCTGATAGAAACAGATGAAATAAGTGGTTAAAAAGTTATGGAATCTACAAAATATGTCGTTAAAATTGATTATTGATTTTGATTTAGATTAAAATTTTAATTTTAATTTGTACCCAATTCAGCGTATCTTATATCTCATTAGTTTAATTGATGGTACAAGAGAAGTGTATATAATAAAATTTAAAGCGGTTGTATCAATTATTGAGTCGTGTCCAATTCAACATTCTAAATATGTCAGTAAACCGACGTGAAAAGGAGAGTTTGAGAAGTTCAATCAGCAGAAAAAGACAATGAGAGCATCCTTTTCAAATCCTAATTACAAGCTACCCTTTTGGCCGACTATTTATGCCCCCCGTTTGGCCCTCATAATTTGATGTTATAATTTTTGAATTTTTTTTTTGGATAATATGTGATTGAAGAAGAAGATTTTTTATTTTTTATTTTTGTTTATATGTAATATTATTTTATTGAAAAATGTGTGATAAAAAATAAGAGAAAGAGAAATGTATTATAAATTAATGGAAGGCAAACGGGGGCTATAACTCTCCACTCCTAAGCCCCATCCATATATTTCTCCATAACACCAATTTCTCCTCTCTCTCGTGTCTTATTCACAACTCAAACTTCCTAGACCCCTCGTTTAAGATTCTGAAAACAACATCCCAAAATTTCGTTCCCAATTCATCTATATTTGTACACATTAATTCTTGACAAGTCATTCTAATCTTTGTCCCCCACAAATGGCTCAATCTCTTGATCATGAAGAATTCTTTTCGGACGGATGTGTACTGGTAAACGGCCCTTTGATTGTGGGAGCAGGTCCATCAGGTTTAGCAGTGGGTGCTGGTCTTAAACAGCAAGGAGTTCCATTTGTGATTCTTGAAAGAGCAAACTGCATTGCCTCTCTATGGCAAAATCGAACCTATGATCGACTAAAACTTCATCTTCCTAAAAAATTCTGTGAACTTCCCTACATGCCATTTCCAGAAAACTTCCCTGAATATCCCACAAAACATCAGTTCATCGACTACCTCGAATCGTATGCGAAACATTTTGAGATTAGTCCAAGGTTTAATGAGTGTGTTCAGTCTGCTAAATATGATGAAACATGTGGGTTGTGGCGTGTTAAGACTGTTACAAATGGTGATTCAAGTTCAACAATAGAATACATTTGCAGGTGGCTCGTGGTGGCTGCCGGAGAAAACGCCGAGAAAGTCGTGCCGGAATTTGAAGGGTTGCAAGAGTTTGGTGGGAATGTCATGCATGTTTGTGATTATAAATCCGGTGAGGCTTACCGGAGAAAGAATGTGTTAGTTGTTGGTTGTGGGAATTCAGGCATGGAAGTTTCACTTGATCTTTTCCATCATAATGCATTTCCATCTATGGTAGTTCGAAGCTCGGTAAATCCTTTAAACCACCTCGTTTAAAGTTAAATTGTTACACCTGCACAATTTTCAAAAGGGGTGGCAGAAAAACTTGAACTTAAGACCCTGGTCTCGTATCCTTTTTCTTTTTTCTTTTTTTTGCACGTTCACTGATTGATTTTTTATTTTATATTTTTTTCACTGAATTCACAGGTTCATGTATTGCCAAGGGAAATTCTTGGAAAATCAACATTTGAGTTAGCAGTTTCAATGATGAAGTGGCTGCCAGTTTGGGTAGTAGATAAAATACTGCTGGTAGCAGCAAGGCTAATTCTTGGATACATAGAAAAGTATGGGCTTAAAAGGCCAAGAATAGGTCCTTTACAGCTAAAGGACACAGAAGGGAAGACCCCTGTGTTGGATATAGGTACCCTTCAAAAAATTAGATCTGGTGAAATCAAAATAGTCCCTGGAATCAAGAAATTTTCTCATGCCAGTGTTGAGCTTATTAATGGACAAATTCTTGAAATTGATTCTGTTATTTTGGCAACTGGATATTGCAGCAATGTCCCATCATGGTTAAAGGTAAAAAATAATTTGCTTATTTAAGAGGGTGTAGAGTCATGTGACAGTTATGGAAGTTAGGTTTCTTACAGATTCTTTGTTCTGATATTTGAATCTAGTCACTGGTCAGAACATGATTGAAAGGGTAAGAATTTAGAATTTGTTGTCACACTTGAGAGTCATTCCCTATTATGTCCCTCTGATTGTTATCTAAGTTCTGACATAGTAAAGCAATAAAATATTGTCGTAGACGAGATGATTTAATACAATGGTATAAATATGACTGGACTAAGTCGATTTTGATATAGTAATAACATTGACAAAGATGTTGACTTCGAGTTTCATTTTGTACATGAAAGGACTTCTAGAAACTTCTTAAAACTCTTAGACGAGGTAGTTTTCTAACAGTACTGTGGTCTGCAGGAAAATGAGTTCTTTTCAAGAGATGGAATCCCGAAATCAGCCTTCCCAAATGGATGGAAAGGCAAAGCTGGGCTGTATGCAGTTGGGTTCACAAGGAGAGGACTCTCCGGTGCGTCTTTGGATGCTATTAAAGTGGCACAAGATATTGGCAAAATGTGGAAAAAAGAAACAAAGCAGAAAAATCAATCTGTTAGTGTATTGTGCCATAGGAAGATTCAAGCCACATTTTAAAGTATCAACACTCAATTTCTAGTGACACATGTATGAGTTTTAACATTGTTTTTCTATTTGGCTTGTAGTTTTTCTTCAACATTTGACAGAAAATGAATTTGATTAGATAAAAAAGAGAGCAGCCCTCTTCATTAAAATCCCAAAAATTTGAGCACTTTTTGTACAAATGGAAGATGAGGCTTTTCCATTTTTCAGTGGCAGAATTTGTATAAAAACTTCAGCATTCCAAATGTTTGATGATTTGTATCCTCTCTCTCTCTACTTCCAAGCATGTTTGGTATGTCGAATTTGTAATACTTTCAGATATGAAATACTTTCAAGCATGTTCTGCATGCACTACTATACTAACAACCAAGACTTTTAACATTTCGTTCGTTCTTTGATTATGTCGAGTTTTGCATAATTCTGTATACTAAGCACGTCGAAAATATTCACGGGTTTTGGAAAAAAATAAAGAATTGTTCATCCATTTGTTTGGTCCACTTGAGTGTTTAATGCAACTGATGGGATTTATCTCAAGAATTTGGTCCATTCAATGCCCCATTAAATATGATGGATCCATAAATCCCCAACATCCATATTCTACTCAATCTGATGCCGACCCTTCTCTGCTTTTCTCTAGGAAGTACATAGAAAAACTCGATAGAGAGCCCGTGTTGCACTGCACATGGCTAGAGCCCACCACAATACATATATAAAGAAATGGGTAAAGAATTCTATTTTTCATTGAGTCAAAACTTCTTAACAATCTTGCTCGTGATCGCAAAAAACTACGCTAACTCTAATTACAGAACATGTTTTGAGATATTTCATATCCAAAACTAGGCGAATTCTAAGTTACGAAAATCGTGCGCAAGGGATTTAAAATATATTATTATTTGGTCGTCTCTTTGTCATTATATTTGGACGTCTCGTCGTAATATATTATAGATTTTTTAAATGAACCGTCACACATGTGGATAATAATTAATAGTCAAACAAGATGAAGCAAATGAAAATTTTGAAAGTGGGCATACGACCTAACTTCAAGTCAATGAAAGTAAAAAAAAAAAAAAAAATACTTAACCAATCAAACTGACCGGAAGTTGAAAATCTATTCTCATTTTGAAACTAGTATGGTTCAAATTTCAAAACATACGACACTCATTCTCTATTTCTTAATTTCCCATCTGCATCCCCAAAACGGATAAAACATTTACAACATATTTGGTATGCTTACCAGATAAGTACGATGGTTATGTTTTTTAACTTTTTTTTTTCTATTGAACTTCACGGAGAATAATAATACTGTTTACTTACCGTTTGACCGCGAATTCACTGGTTTTATGTAGGCAAAAGCCAACAAGTGTGCACAGTACGATAGATATAATTTTAACCTTTTTTTTCTTTTTGGTTAAATTGTGTAGAACCTAGTTATAATGTTTATTGTCCTAATCGAACAAGAAACGACTTCAACTAGGCCGTTTTTGGAAGTCAAGTATGCCACATCCCACTATGGAACTAAACACCTTAAAATTATATACAATATATGAATTATTTTTGTCAATTCCTTTAGTTCAAATTATATAATTGGCAAAAGTTAAGAAAAAAATGGCTAGAAAATCTTCCCATGTTCCTAAATTAATTAATAATAATGACTCCATCATAAATTGGTCCAAGTTAGGACAGCATTGTACCAGATCATATATACCTAAAATCTGGTCAAGAGATACAATGAAAGTACCAAATTAATCACTATTTACACAGTAATATGATCCAAGAATTTCCCATTTCAGCATCAATTTAAACAACCTGAAAATCCAGAAATAGAAAAAATTAAGTAAAAAAAACAAATAGATGGAAAAATAAGTACAAAAATGGACAGCCCACATGAGTTCCCATGCTGTTAATTAAACCATGCAGAAAACCTTTATTTTGGTCCCATGTAGAGTGGCTTCACCACCACAAACAAAAGTCTTTCTTTAAGAAAAATAAATCTGAGTCAATTTCAAACCTTAATGAATGTAAAACACAGCTCACAGTCACCAACTTGCTTCTTGGGATGATCATGTTTGAATTTTGCACTTGCATTAGCCATTGACATATGGAGGTTTCTACAGTTGTAATTATGTCATTTTCCATCGAAGTTTCCCGAGTTCATGACTAAAACAACGAACTAAGCCTTATTCTTTATAAATTTAGGTGTATCCTTGACGGTCCAGCTCCATATGTGCCGGAAGATTTAAAGCTTTAGCGCGTCTTCTAAATCATAATGGGTTTTGAGGCATATTGGGTATTTAATACGAATATTAGGTCACTCTAATATTCCTACATGTTAAGAATATTGAGCATAACCCCACCTAATAAAACCGACTTATTAGGGGAGGATTGTCCTCACCTTATTAAGTGGATCATTTATATTTTCTCAAACAATGTAAGATTCTAATATGCCCCCTCACGCACAGCATGGACCATGCCAAACAACTTTGAACAAATCGATATTGGGTGACACCCAACATTGCATAATTGGGTCTAACTCTGATACCATGTTAGGAATATGAGAAATTATAAAAACTCAGGTGGTTAAAGTTTGGAATTCAAAAATCAGGGACCAAATTTCAATCTTCAAAAATCAGGTACTATATAAAACTGCCAACCTTAATTTTTCACTCAATACCCACTCCCCTCTCTCTCTATCTCGATCTCGCCTGCTCTCCTCCCCTTCCCTCCCCCTCCCCCTCGCTCTTCCCGTCTCCTCCTCCACCTCCC